AAAAATAAAATCATTATTGCTTTCTTAAAAACACATAAAATCGAATTATAACATCGATGAAGACAAATAATAAAATAGAACATTAAAATCGAGATGTATCTCGCTGCATTGCGCGAGTACCCTTCTAGTATTTTTAAGTCAAAAATAAATTACCACGCTATTAAACCTAAATTAAGTTATAATAAAATTGAATTAAAGAAATTGTAAAAAAATAGAGTTTTTAAATGATTAATTTGACATTAATATCCATGTACTTTTTCAAATTTTATGATATTTTTAAATTTATTTCTATTCAAAAGTAAAAAATTGTCTTTTCTAAAACCACATAAGCTGTATTATATTAACAGAGACAAAAAATAAAATAAAAAACATTACAATGAATATGTATCTTGTTGAATTGTGCGAAAATCCTTTTAGTATTGTATAATATATGAACGTATCTATTAATATTTCTATATTTAAAAGATAATATTTATATATCTACATATTATAATATTTATATATCCACATAATATGTCCGTATTAATATATTATATTGTCGATATAATATATAATATTATATATATATATATATATATAAATAAATAATGGTGAATATATTAAAGAATGAGAGATGTGTTGTTATTATATAAATAAGTTATAAGAGGAAAATTGTAGACGGGTGTATTGTTTGGGATTGATATTGTTTGGGTTATCTCACAATATTTTCCAAAACTAAAAGGCTTCATCGCTAAAATATGCCTCTTGATCGGCCATTTATATGTAAAAATCATCAATTTATATAAAAAAAATTAAATAATTAGAATAGAATATGTATATATATATATATGCCCATCAAACAAAGAACATGATAAAAAAGAGAAAATATGAATGGTCAAATCACATTTAATTTCACCGCTTTTATTTGATCATTATTTTCATTTTCATTTGAATTCCATCCCTCTCTCTCTTTATACTATATTGTAAATTATTTGATAAAAATTTCTAAAAATCATCTTTTATATATAAAGTACTGTTTATTGATATATATCTATATATATATATATATATATATAAAACTTAAAATTCAAGATTACAAGTAAATTGTGCATAAGAACAACTGATTAAGTTTCATATTTGAATTCGTGTAACTAACTATAGATAAATATAATCAAGTACATAATAAAATTCTCATTTTAAATATATAAAAAATATAATTATTGAGTTCTAACAAAATACTTAGTTATTATCTTTATAAAAATTATATTATTAAACCAAAAACAAATTACTTCATCATTTAATCTAAATTAAATTATAATAAAAAAAATTGAATTAAAAAATTACACAAAAAATAAGAACTTTTATATATTTTTTATTTTTTTTGATATTTTCAATTTTATATTTAAAAAAAGCATATTGTTTGCTCAAAACAACATAAATTCATATTATAATATCGTCAGATACCAAAAAAATAAAACGAAACATTAAAATCGAGATATATCTCGCTGCATTGTGTGAGTACCATTCTAGTAGGTATATATATATATATATATATATATACACACTATATTATAAAACATTTGACAAAAACTCTTAAAACATTTTTTATGCATAAAAGTATTGTTTATTGATGCATATTACTTAAAATTCAAGATTACAAGTAGAATATGCATGAGTACATTTTATTAAAGCTTCATGTTTGAATTCGTGCAACTAATTGCAGATAAACATAATCAAATACATGATAAACATCTTTTTAACTATAAAAATATAAAATATAATTAAAATAATAATTGATATCTAACAAAATACTTAATTATTATCTTAAAAAATAATTTATCAAACCAAAAATAAATTAGTTCGTTATTGAACTTCAATTAAATTATAATAAAAATTGATTTAACAAATTACCCAAAAAACGAGAATTTTTAAATAATTAATTTGATATTAATATCGATTTTTTTAATATCTTCAAATTTATATTTCATTGAAAAAAATATTTTTCTCAAAACCACATAAAATCGTATTATAACATCGATAGAGCCAAAATATAAAACGAAACATTAAAATCAAGAAATATATCGTTGCATAGCGCGAGTATCCTTCTACTATATATATATATATATATACACACACACACACACACACACACACTATATTATAAAGCATTTGACATAAACTTTTAAAAACCACTTTTTATGCATAAAATACTGTTTATTAATGCATGTTGTTTAAAACTCAATATTACAAGTAGATTGTGCATAAGTACAACTTATTAAAACTTCATATATGAAWTCGTGTAACTAACTGCAGATAAACATAATCAAATACAAGATAAATATCTCATTTTAAATATAAAAAATATAAAATATAATTAAGATAATCATTGAATTTTAATAGAATACTTAATTATTATCTT